ATGTTAAACCAAATTAATTATTAAATTTGACCAGAAAAGTTATACAGGGCGAGACAAAATTAATAAGAAACATTGGACACCTTTAAAAGCAAATTACACCTTTATTTTAAATTGAACACACAGTTTATTTTTCAGGTCTTCAATGGCGAATTCATACTAAGTGCTGGCAAAGGTTAGTCTTGGGTCGAGATTTCCGTATGTAAGAAGAGTACAATGCGTTTATAATGTACTGAACAAAGAGAGGACAGTAAACACGTTGCCAAACGTATGAAATAAACCGAGAAAATGTGCACATCGCTAAGAGACGTGGAAGGGGATATAGCAGATTTGTCGCAGTTGACCGATCGATCCAATCAATACCTCTGTCAGTACTTAAAGTTCTAGGGAAAGGTGTACGTCATGCGTCTCGTGACACTTAATTTGTATATTTATTAACGAGTCGTTGTAATTTTCCCTATAGCTTGAATTTTTTTAAGTGCAAGCTAGAAACACTTGCATTTTTGGTAAAAATAAGTGGAATTGAGTGAGTGTTCGATAGTGGTCGCGCTATTAGAAATATGAATTCAAAAATCGATATCTTGAAATCTATTAGAAATAATAGATTGTTTTTTTTTTCAAGAACTTTTTTAATATTTCTGCTGTATTTTCTTTGTAGACAGTACACGATTGCTGAAAATTGCTATGCTCTAAAAGTAAATGGATGGATTGTTTAAAAACAACCTTATCGAATTTTTCTTATGTAAACATATTGTAAAATAACCGATCTTGAAAATAAAAAAAAGTTTCAATATCTAAAGTGGTTCTGGAGTTATGTGTTAAAAAGTTTTGAGTTTTTAAATTATCGCGATTACTGACGTTTTCTCGTTATAAAAAAAATGACACCCTAACGATATTCTTATAATTCCATTTCAGATGCTCAGAAACATGTCTAATGATTTTATCTAGTTATCTCTTGAAAAAAAAAATAAAAATAAGCGGTATGCGATCGTCATTTTACTTTACTTGATAGGGAAAGGCGTATCGGCAACGCCGCAACAGCACACCGTCGCGCGTCGCGTCGGTCGTTCGCATTTCTCTCACTCCGACTTAATAAGATCCCTATGCGATTTACTTCCACACATGTAAATGCCGACCCAAAAGTAACAGTTGCCAGCACGGTATATCTTCAAAATATTATCAAGGCTGCCTACCCCTCAGACAAAGATTTTCCTAGATTTTCCAGTAGATCTTTATTATTTGAAAAAATCTATGTGGCTGTGATAAGCCTTTTGTTAAATTATACAAAATAAACATAGTGGCTAAAAAAATATTACTGTTTACCACACGTACAACTTGATTTGTAATTAAAAATTGTTTACTTAATTCCGTGCATCATAAAGTTAAAACTTCTATCTATAAAACAATAAAAATTCAGTACCAGCATATCCATACACATTAAACGGATGAAAATGTAATACGAGAGCGCCATTATAACCACCAAAAAAAGCAAACAACTACAAAACTATGTAGCCTTTTTTCAGGATTTATCCGCGATTTTAAAATTTTGCTGGCGCGTTATCCGAAATATTATAGCGATTCAAATACAAACCGGCCCAATTTGCAACGAGGTTTAGGAAGGCGACCTTAAAATGTTTGCTCGAAACGGCTATGTTTGCTTGTTTGCAACTCGCTCCTATTACGCGAGGAAATCTTATTTGTTGGAGGTAGACGGCAGAGAAATTGTAGTTTTCGTAATAAAATCGCGAAAAATAGTTACGTGTCGTGATAATAATTCCGAATATAAAAATTCTTTTCGGTAGGTTTCATAATGGGCGCAAACAATTTTGTAAACTATATATACTATATGTATAACTGTAAATATATATATATATATGTGTAATAATATATAAATAAAATTATAATATAAATAACTGTATATATATATATATATATATATGTGTAATAATATATAAATAAAATTATAATATAAATAACTGTATATATATATATATATATATATATATATATATATATATATATATATATATGTATAAACTATATATATATATATATATATATATATATATATATATATATATATATATATAAAATCTAGGATTTATGTGGGTTGCAGTCGGAAGGGTTTGACAAAGAATTAATACACTTTGCTAATTGTCAAGCTTTCGGAATTAATTTATTCCTTCCTCAGGACACTAAAATGGAAATACAAGTTAGACAATTGCTGTTATAAAAGTTAAGAATAAGACTTACTTAACGTGGTACAGAAAATACCTTCATAAAAACTACATTAAACATGGTTTGTGTTGATAACTCCACCGTGAAAGCATCGCTGACCAGTCAACCACAAGGACTCTTATAAGGCGGTTAAGCCGCCAAATATAAGTTAGAACATTAGAATAATTAAGAGATGTTAGAAATTTTTAAATTAAAGAATTTTTTGCGTCTCAATCCGAAGCGTGGAGGCGCAAAACAATTGACAGGCGACAACCGCGACATCCAAACGTCAAAAGTCAATTGTCAGAAGTCAAGTTAGTAAAAGTGATCTATGGATGTCGAACAAGGCTGTGGCATGTCCATCATTGTATTCATGTAAAAAACCAATGGTGTGGGTGGTCATGTAGAAAAGTGGAGTGATCAAGGCACAACACTAAAAAAACACTAAAAAACATTAATAAAACACCCTTACTCGTGCAACGAGAGCAAAAAACAATTAGGTGGTAAAAATACAATTACATTTACAATTCAGAAAATGTCACCAAATATCTGCAACCAGAAAAACACCGAGCGCAATCAGAAAAAGAATTTTCTTATAAGCAATTGAATAAACATTAGGATGTACTAAAAATTTTGAAAAAAGACAGAGGTGCAATGCAAACACTTAGAAAAGGCCAAATGTGAAAAAGGTAATGAGGAAAATATGACAATAATGTTCTTATTAATCAATGTGAAAAAACTGTCACAAAAAATCATTAAATTGTACAATTTTTTTTTTCTCCTTCAATTTTTTAAATTTCCAGGAAATTCATGAACCAAACCTTTTCATAGTATTGGCAATACTTCCAAAATTACAAAATTTCATAAGGTGTAAAAAACTACAGAAACACACTCCGCAAAAAGGGGGGAACAAACAAAATCAGCAAATTAAGACCAATTAAATGACAAGGTAAAGACAATGTGCGGCTTGGACAATCCAAGAAAAGGCAATGCACCAAACTGACAGTGCACTCCACGCAAATTGCTTATTATTAAAAACATTTAATCAAAGGTAAAACCACCGTTGGTTCTTGAAGGAACCAAGGGAGGGTAAAAGAGACAAAAACAAGTGCACACAGGCACCTGTTATGGTAATATGCACTGGGAACGTATTAGTGCATACACCTTGAAACAGTCCGAGAGGGACTGGGAAGGGGCGATTAGCAAATTACATAGCATCTATAAAAGATATGGTCAACATTCCGTTGCATACATAAACAACGAAATGAGACAAAAAATCTCCGGGTGGAAACACCGTCCCACTCACCACCTACACAACAACTCATCACCACGCGATGGGTGAGAATTGTATGAGTGCTCGAAAGTCGACACACTGTTAGTGTAAAAATTCTAATAATTCGAATTTTCTTTGACTTAAAGGTTTTTAGTGGTTAACCAAAAACCCCCAAGACAATTAGTAAGGCAAGTGATAGTGTGAGGGGAACAGCGAAACAACCAAGAGACAAGGCTAGGCTAGCCTTGTCTCTTGGTTGGGCCGAAAAACGCTCTTTACCATCTTTTGACGGGAGATGCACTAATATCTCACCGACACTTTACGACATCGTCTGTTGATATAGAAGAAGTTTTGCTTGCCGTATCGGTGAGAACCAGCCCCTGGTCAGCCCACCTGATGAAGGGTAGGCCCAGAAACCGGTTGTGGGAGTGGAGCTTGGTTCCCCTTTACGACAAGGAAAAACAATTTTCTTTTACTTTTTTTTTTTTCTTAAATTTTTCTCTACTTTCGATTTTTCGAAATTAGAAAAAAATACACAGCTAAAGGCAAGAAAATATTATTTATTAATATACACTAAAGCTGTAAGAATTTTGTTCATTTCATATATTTGAGCGGGCCGAAAACGCTCTTTACCATCTTTTGACGAGAGATGCACTAATATCTCACCGACACTTTACGACATCGTCTGTTGATATAGAAGAAGTTTTGCTTGCTGTATCGGTGAGAACCAGCCCCTGGTCAGCCCACCTGATGAAGGGTAGGCCCAGAAACCGGTTGTGGGAGTGGAGCTTGGTTCCCCTTTACGACAAGGAAAACAATTTTCTTTTTACTTTTTATTTTTTTATTAAATTTTTTCTCTACTTTCGATTTTTCGAAATTAGAAAAAATACACAGCTAAAGGCAAGAAAATATGAAAATATTATTTATTAATATACACTAAAGCTGTAAGAATTTTGTTCATTTCATATATATATATATATATATATATATATATATATATATATATATATATATATATATATATATATATATATATATATATATATATATATATATATATATATATATATATATATATATATATATATATTCGGTTTAGAACGTTTTTCTACGTTGTCCGATACCCAATTTCCAGCCTGTTCTATTCGTACAATCCTGTGTTGACAGGTTTCTTTCTTACTCATCGCTTTGTGTACGCTTTTTGCCATTCCAGTTTCGGTCTTCCCTGTTTTCTTCTGCCCTTTGGTTGTCAATTGATTATTTTCTTGGGCCATCTAGTGTCCTTCATTCGCTCTACATGTCCGTACCAGATCAGCTGCTTTTTCTCTATATCCTGTGTTATCGTACCTTCTATACCCATTTGTTGTTTTATAGTATTATTTCTTATTCGTTGTTGTCTTGAAATTCCCATTGATCTTCGAATGACATTTCTACGGCCTCTATCCTCTTCTTGTATCTCTCAGTTATTCTCCATGTTTCTGCTCCATACAGGAGGTTGCTCTTTATCATGGTTTCATATATATTGAATTTTTTTCGCGTTGATAATCCTTTTCTCTATTTCTCTGCCGTCAGTTCCAGTGTTATCAAATGTAATTCCCAGGTACTCATACTCTTGACACTGCTTAATTTCGTGACCGTTGTCCAAGTTCAAGTTTCCTTCTTGTGCGCCTATACATAGATATTTTGTTTTGGCTATGTTAACTGTCAAGCCCCATTCTCCGTATTCTTCAATAAGTTTTCTTAGCATATATTGCATAGCATCTTTGTCATTGGCAACTATTATTTGATCGTCTGCGAATTGAAGTATGAACAAACATTCATTGTCAATCTCTATGCCCATACCACGGATCTTTCTTTTCCAATTTTGTAAAGCGACTGCAACTTATATTTTAAAGAGAGTAGGGGAGATGCAACAACCTTGACGCAAGCCTTTGTCGGTTATAAATGTTTCTGTAAGCTCTTTTCCTACCTTTATTTTTGATTTTGCGTCCTTATATAGTTCCTTAAGAGCTGTTATATAAGTATGGTTGATCGTAGATTGTTCTAGTACCCTCCATAGTCTTGATATTGGGACAGTGTCGTACGCTTTCCGTAAGTCAACAAATGTTATATGTGTGTCCAAGTTTCTTGCCGGTCTTTTTTCTATAACTTGTTTTAAATAGAACACGTTATCTGTACACGACCTTCCTGCTCTAAAACCGTTCTGTTCTTCTTCCTGCTTTTTTCTATAATCTTCTTCTATGAGATCACGTAAAATTCTATCATATAACCTGCTCATTGTGCTCGTCACTGATATATCACGGTAGTTACTGCAGTCCAGCTTATTGCCTTTTTTATGGATCGAAGATATATAATATCTGGATAGAGATTATTTTTTTAAATTGAATACCCTATATATTATTGCATTTTTCGGTTCCTTTTTGATCCCTTTACCTCATTCTAAGATACAAATATATATATTTCGGTAGTTTCAGAGATATTGATAAATAAATAAAAAAAATATTTTTTTCGGCCTTAGAAAAGTTATTAAAAATACAAGAAATGTCCTGAAATCAAACCTATATAAAGTATTTACTGTAGTGGGTCTATACTTACTCTGCTCCAAATATCGTAATATTTAACCATACATGGTGTTCAAAATTCTATGGCAAACTTCTTAAAATATAAAATAAGTTTTTTTTCGTTTTTTAATGGAATACCCTGTATATTGTTGGGTAGACAATTAAAAAATGAACATTTTCTGAATTTAAAGTTTTTTAAATATTTAAAAAAAAAAGTTTTTTTTAAGTTTTTTTTTAAATATTTAAAGTTTTTTTATGAAATGCATCCTAATAGTCCTGAAATGCATCCTAATACATACTTTAGGTTTGCACACAAAATTCCTAACTTTTTTTATTATAGGAGCTACAGAGGCCCGACGCACTATTGTCGGACCCTGTGTGTCTTGGAAATATGGCAATAACAAAAAAAAATATAACAACATAATTAAAGCCATTAAAACATACTTTGAGAACAGCAATAACAATTACAATCACATAGAGAAATGCTTAAAAGAAGTCGCAAATGAAGCCTTGGGACATACGAAAGGATACTGCAAGGGAAACCGTATTGGTGGGAAGAAGACATTGAAAGAGATATTAAAGAAAAAAGGGAACTAAACCAAACATTCTTAACAACACAAAAACAAGAAGATAAAACGCTGTTTAAAGGAGCACAAACAAAAGTCAGGAAATAGATCACACAAAAAAAGAATGAATCCTGGGAAAGAAAATTCACAACAATCTAAACATACCTTGGAGGAAGGAAAAGTACTGAGAGCTGGAAAATATACGAGTCATTGCGTCACAGCATATAAAACACATAATTTCTTGATAATAATGCAACATAGATAATAGATTAAATTTAGAAAAAAAAAACCCGGAGAATATCCAGTGGTTCTCAAAATTTAAACAAAAAATATTTTTTTTTTGCAATTTTCTAACGTTTCTTGGGATTTTACTTAAAAAATGGTAGAAAGCAAATATATGTTTCTTTTATCTAGATCTACCAGCCCTGAAAATATTAGCACTTATTTAAGACTCGCCCTGTATATTACAATGTCATTAATTAAATAAAACACAAAAAAAAATGTAAATAGAATATTATATTTCTTAGTATATAGATTATTATTATATATTCTTCAAATCTTTCTTAGTTATTGGAAAGCATAGGCAGCTATGGAAATGCAATTATAAAATAAAACAATTTACAGCAAATAGAACATTATGCGTATTATAGAAGAATTATTAATATAGTTGCAGCATTTATTATTTTTAAAGTAGCAAAACTACTTTAAAAGTGTTCTTTAAAAACTTTAAAAACTCGTTAGAGCTAATAAATATCTGTAGAAATATTGACACTCAACTACCCCAATCAATGTACTAATATTAAATAAAGCACCCTCGAAAAAATGTCGTTACAGTGACCTTTAAGATGAAAATCCATGAATTATTTATTAAAAATTGGCATTGCCAGAAAATAATATTAAATGGATGAAAAGAAGTCAAAAGTTTATACACTTGCAAAACAAAATAAACATTTGCTTCCCTCTAAAGTGGAGATTAGTTTTTGACAAATACTTATGTCGATTTTTGATATAATATGACAGGAGTCAATCCAGTATGAATTAGAATCTTACTATCTCTCTAGAATATTACCATCTCAAAAGCCACTGCGACGCCGTTTCTTTTCGATTATAGGGTAGTGCGTTCCCATAACCTCTACAAACTAATTCGAACCCATTGTGTTAGCCATTAGAGTTGCATAGGAATAAGCAGCTTTCATTACCTAGAACAGAAAATAAGGAGTGTTGGTATCAAAAAATCAAAGGTATTACAAAAAACTGCTTCAATAAAACGTCTAAGAAAATAGCTACCACCTTTCTTTGTTCTACATGAATAATATCACAATATCAGCAGATACCCTCAAAGTCGAAGTATCTGAGGATATAATTGTCCTTTGATTCATAAAACTAAGAAAATTGGTAGCTGTCTTTTTTGGTAACCTTTCTTTTTAAGCCTTTCTGGCAATTTATTAAATAAGATGATTTCTCAGTATCTAAACACACAATAATACAAAATACGCTAGACGCTACACACCCACGAGGCTAGCTTTAGCCCACGTCCACACAGAAAGCGTTTTTGCGTTTTTAGCGTGACGCATCTTTAGCGGCTAAAACAAAATAACAGGATTATATAGGAGTGGCGACACCAAAAGCGTGTCGCTTTCGGCGTGTCTCGCAAAAAAACGCAAATGAAAACAAATCAGTTTGTTTTCTGTAGCGTCTTTAGCGTTTTCTAAGATGAGACCCCGTCATAGGCGGACGTTATATTTAATAATACATACAATAAAAATAAATTAAATAGTATGCATTTTTTTCATTTTTGGGTATTATCTAAAAATATTTTTATAAAGAACATCTGCTGTTTAGGAACATTCTATTAAATTCAAAAATTTGAAGGAAATGTTTGAAAAAGTGTAGTTTGAAATGTTGAAAAAGTAATAAATTAAAGAATATTTTCTTACGGGTAAAAAATAGTTTTCTAATGCGTAAAAAGTGCTTTTTTTCTGCGTAAAAGGTTTTTTTTAACAGAATCAAATAGTTTTTGACGCATAAAAAATATTTTTTTACGTGTAACAAATAGTTTTTTTACACGTAAAAAATATTTTTTTGGGTAAAAAAGTTTTTTACTAAAAACAATAAGTTTTTGACGCGTAAAAATTAGTTTTTTACGCAATTTAATTTTAATTTTTTTTTTTACGCAACAAAATGTTTTTTACCAAAAACAATAAGTTTTTGACGAGTAAAAAAATAATTTTTTACGTGTAACAAATAGTTTTTAACAGGTAAAAAATATTTTTTTTTTGGTAAAAAAGTTTTTTTACCAAAACATTAAGTTTTCGACGCGTAAAAATTAGTTTTTTACGTGTAACAAATAGTTTTTACACGTAATTTTTTTGCGTAAGAAAGGTTTTCTACCAGAAACAATAAGTTTTTTACGTGTAACAAATGTTTTTGTACACGTAATAATTTGATTCACTTTTACAAAATTTGTATTAAAATATCAATATTTTTGATAAACACGTGGACTGCTCGCAAATACACGTCGCGTCACTACGTATTTCTAAGCCGTTAACACGTTTTGTTACAACGAGTTCGTGTGTCAGGGCCGTCTCACTAGCTCGTATGTCACGGCCTTGAATTTTTACTCCCAGCGCGCGTAAAGAAGTTTCACTCCAAAATGTTTCATAAATCATGTCCTAAAATTGCATTAGCAACTAGAAATATTTACTATTCTATTATATAATTATAATTATTTATTATATTATATTATAATAATTATAACAAGTACTAACCACAACACTACAACATAAAAAAAACTATACACATATAATAAACTAAAATTCGTAAAATAAATCGCAAATATTAATTATTATTTTTACACACACCACTGGTACTAGCAGTAGATTGTGTTTGTCTCCGAATATATGCCCCGGCCCGTCCACAGTTCAATCCCAGCATCTTTTATCTTCGTCTCTTCAACGCTAACGGCGCCGATCTCTTTCTCACAGGATTGATTGTTGGACGGGCCGGGAATCCACGAGCTTGCGACGTTACTAATTGACATCTTGATAGAAACTACTGACCTGCCGCGTCTTTTGCCTGTTTTTAATGGACACAAATCCAAAAAAGCGCTTAAAACGGTAAAATCGCAAAAAGCGCTTGAGACGCAAAAAACGCTTTCTGTGTGGCCGTGGGCTTAGACACGTAAGCTTTAGAAGCGGCTTCTGCACGATTAATCACATACATACACTAAGAGGAACTAGCAGCCGAACAAAAGAATACGAACTTCCACTAACCATAACCTCTATAGACTTTGAGGAGCAAAATAAAAACACTAAATCACCACAATACACCAAAACACTTTTACTTTTACACTGGACGCGCGTTTCGCTAACCATGTTAGCATCATCAGCAGATAATTATAAACTAAAGTACAATCTACAAGTTGAGCGTTTATATACTCGCCCAGTAGGCACCGAGTGGGCGTGGCAAAAACTAGCCAACCGAGTCAGAGCCAACTGAGCGTAACAGTTAGATTTCCGCCACTAGAGTAGTAGGAACAAAGAACTTGAAGGAATTGGACCGTTGTCTCTGTTCATACTATCTTTACATTTATTAATTCTGATGCTTTCATATGCATCTAATTCCTGTAATTTGAGACTTGTTTAATTAATTTTAAATTATTAAGATCTATACAATGTTCTTTATCAACAATATGTTCGGCAACGCAAGATTTATCCGGTCTACCATATCTTATCTGAGCTAAATGTTCTTTAAATCTAGTTAATATTGATCTTCTAGTTTGCCCAACATATTTCTGATTACAATCTATACAAGAAATTTCATAAATACCCGACCTTTCCAGTGGAGATGTTTTATCCTTTGGACATGGTTAGCGAAACGCGCGTCCAGTGTAAAAGTAAAAGTGTTTTGGTGTATTGTGGTGATTTAGTGTTTTTATTTTGCTGTTTAACACCAAAGGTTCCAACCCTCAACTGTAATCTTTGAGGAGGCCTTCGACTCGTTATATCCTAAGGTAGTAAGTAATAGAAGCCCTAGCGAAACAATGTATTGCCAGCCATTAGTTGACTTACGCATTCCAAACATGGACATTTAAAAAGGACATTATAAGGAAACTCAATCGCACAACGCTCAATGGAACGAAATATGCTGGGAATAACCAAGACAGACGGTAAAAGAATAGAGTAGATACGACAAAAGACTCAAGTAATACATGCCATCCACAGAATTAAATCCCAGTGGCAATGAGCAGACACCTGGCAAGAAGGACAGTATACCAAGAGACCTAGAGGATGACCAAACTTCAGATGGGACCATGATATAAGGAATTTAGCAAGGATAACTTGGGTCCGCATAGCAAACAATAGACAACAATGAGCCCACCTACAAGGAGAGTATCTAAATATGTGAGGGAGGCTCACAATTGGAAATGTTTGAATATGCTGAAAATAATGATGATGATTGATGATCTTTACTCAAATATAGTATAATACCGCTATAGCTGAGTCCAAAGTCATCGGACCAAATGGCCCAATTGTCAACAGCAAAGGTCGCTGACTGGCTGCCATCATGATGATAATGGATTTTTTGGTCGACTGGTCCGTATTGTACCATAAGCTGTTCCATAGAGCGCTATAGATGGCTAAACTCTATAGAAAGACAATAATTAATATAAATAATGCTTAACAATGAAAAACAAATAATTACTACTACTACTGCCATTACTCGCTAACGAGTATTTGACACGCATCAAAAGATGGTTACGCAGGGCGTTTCCTGTCATGAGCTTTTCTGTGACTGAAAAGCCCGATACGTGATGCTATCTCTCTTCCGCACTCCGGACATTCAAAAATCTCATTACTTTGTTGCCTCTTTACTTTTTGGTTTGGTTGGTTGTTACGCATAAGCAAAAACATCATATATTAAAAATATACATTAAAAATGCGTAACAAAATAAATTCTATAATAGAGGTATTGAAATTTAGAAAACGTCAACATGATTGATATTATTCAGTATTTTACCAAACCGTATATTTTACCGTACTTTACCTCTCTGGTTCACCTGGTTTTGCAACGGACTACCGCCCAAAAAGCGATAAAAACACTGACAGAAAATATGGACTTAAGTGCCCTCTTCCAGCATACCTCACCTGGTCTTTGACTTCGTTGGTGGAATAAGCCAACACAAAAATTTGAAATGTTAATCCAGATCCGTAAACGACAAAAAACACTACTTCACTCATGGATTCGCACTACAAAAATATTATTGTATTATTTGTGATGTAAAGTGCGCTAGTTTTTCTTTAAATTACTGTCAAAAGTTGAACTGTGATTCCACCAATATTGGCAGCGTTTAGAAAATATTCTAGCAACAAAATATACTTTACGCAGTCATTGACATATTTTCCCAACCTATCAAAAGAAAAGAAAATATATTCGGTATTACTTCAAAAATTGTCAAATTGGCTTCCAATTGCCTATCAATGACGATCTTAATTTATGAATCAAGTCTGACGCCGTTTTTTTGAATGTATGATATAATATGACCTATTCTGCATAGGTATAAAAAAATAAACTGTGCGTTATTATCTGTATATTTTGTAAACATTTGTAGTGAAAATCTCAAATAGAAAACTTGATGGATTTATTTTGTCCAAACTATATTCCGGAAACTTCGGCAGCATATTGTACAGATAAAAACGAGGGATGAACACTTAGGGGATTTATGGTGTACACATGAGAGGATTTCCAGGGGATGTACCGAGGATGTAGTGGATGTACCGAGGATGTAGTGGATGTACCGAGGATGTACTAGAGGATGTAGGAGATGTACCGAGGATGTAGGGGATGTACCGAGGATGTACTAGAGGATGTAGGGGATGTAGCGAGGATTTACCGGGGATGTATTTCGAATTATTTGGGCCGTAATTTGCCGAATGCGATGTTTCAAGTCATCCAAATTTGTGGGTTGTCTTTTGAATACATTTTCCATAAGGTATCCTCTTCGGTATCTTCTTAAAAAAGTTTTTTTCTAATATTTTTTTTCACTTTTTAATTTTTAAATGAGAATAACTCCAGAAAGCTTGGATTTGGGTATAGCACTTACATGGAAAATATTCAGAATTTTAAGGGCAATTCAAAAATGCAGAAAAATAATAATTATGTTGCCACGAGGGTTTCCATTATAAGAAATTGTTTTGGACAAAGCATTTTTGAAACACCCTGTATAATATTCATTTTGCATGTATAATATTCATTTTTTGCATAATCTGCCCCGGAAAAATTAAAATAATTGATGTGGCCGAGCGATTTCCAAAAAAATGTGGTTCACGAGATGTTGATGTTTATTCAATATTTAACAACCACCCTGTACGAAATCAAATAGGATCGAATATCGATATTGAGAATATAGATGATCTAGATATTTCCGATATGAAGTATTCATAAAGAGATATAGCGGTATCTGTTATATCGATAGCTATATCGATATTTGTGGACGAATATATCGTTACTTGGTTTTCAAGTATGTGAATTAGCTTGTGCACATCCGTTTTTCTCAATGAATTTATTAAATAAAGTTTGCACAAGCCGATTTTCACAAGCCGATTTGCACAAATTTCATGGTAGTGAAAATGGACCTTTATTTGATATATCGATACTCAAGGCTTTGTGGCTCACCCCTACTCATAACATCAAAATATCTCGCAAAATGTATGTATAAGTCAGATATATAGCCTTTAATCCATATCTCTGGTATAAGTTTATGCAAAAATATGTTTGGCATGTGTGTTCATATCTTATTGCATAGTGCCGTAAGCGTTATGAATTAAAGGGAAGTGTGTGTAAATAATTATTATTGTACCCTCTATACGTCAAAAACGAAGTTCATAAATGCGAATGCCTTTAACGTTGCCTATTTTTAGGTCTGTTTTATAAAGTAGATCCTCGGTAGCTACTAGATCTCATTTTTATTTGGGGTTCAAAACACGAGATTGATAACTTTGCACATAATATAGGGCTTTACGCATGACTAAGTTATTTTTTCCGCCGACATAAACTGCATAAACCGAGGCATAAACTGCTGTTATACAGGGTAAGTCTTAAATAAGTGCAAATATTTTCAGGGGTGGTATATTTTGACCCCAGGAACACGTCTATGATGTTTTTTTGCAAATAAAATATGTTAAAAATCGTGCATGTTCTTTTAAATTTCCCTGTATATTTTTCGAAAACATTTTAGAACTGCCTATTCACCGCTAATTTTCCCACGTTATAAATTCTTAATCTCGGATATTACCATAGTTACAGCTTTACTCTATGGTTACGGCACTAAAAGGGATGCAAATACAGAAAAAAATCAGGTGGCTATCAAAATTAAAAAAAAAACATTTTTTTTTAAATTTTCAAACTTAAATAACTCGGATATTTTGGACTTATTTGAAAAATGGTAAAGAAAAAATATGTTTCTTTTACCGGGATCTACCAGCCCTGAAAATATTTGCACCTATTTAAGACTCACCCTGTATAATAAAAGTAACGGAGAATTGTTGTAGGCACAATAATAGCCGAGATTGTTACAGCTCTGGCAAGATTTGATATGGGTTGGCATGCCTTAGTTCGATTCTCGATGACCCCATATAACTTTTTTAAATGGTTTTGATTTTTTTTTTCTTTTTGAATTCAACAGAAATATTAGGTGTCAACTATATTACTAGCCAATAAATTGTAGAGGTTTGAGAAATTTTGTGTAGTTATACATATAATAAAGCTCGTAATAAAGTGGGAGATCGCTCTAACATAAATAACAATTCCGGTTTCGTCGTAAGTAAAGTAACCTTAATTTTGTTATTTTAAATAAAAAACACCCTGTAAATTTTTATATCCCTCTAGTAAATGTAAGTCGAAATGGTGCTTCATCTTTTTTTTTATATATTTAAAAGTTTGGGAGATAATAGCGTTCAAAATTTTAACTTTCTTTTTACCATTCAAATAAAATTTAAAAAAAAATATATACAGTGTGTCCAAGATAAGTATATCTCGAAAAGTATTTTAGATAAGTAAAACGGTTCATCACGAAAATTATTCTAATGTATGGCATACTCATGAGAGGATTTCCAGGGGATGTACCGAGGATGTACTAGAGGATGTAGGGGATGTATCGGGGATGTACCGAGGATGTAGTGGATGTACCGAAGATGTAGGGGATGTACTAGAGGATGTACGAGGATGTAGGGGATGTACCGAGGATGTACTGGAGGATGTAGGGGATGTACTAAGGATAGAGGATGTAGGTGTACACTTTTTGCCCTATGTGTTTACCCCTCAGATAAAAATAAGTAAAAAAGTTCGTATAAATATATTCCCTAAAATGCTTAATTTCGGAGATATGTAGAGGGTGTAGAAGTTTTCCTTTTATTTCGATTTTTTCCAAATAATTTCTGAAGGGGTGGCTGCAATAACCAGGCAACTCCACCTTTTTTCGAAAATGAGATTTTTAATGAATTAAAAATTGGCCGACCGTTCCTGCAACAATCAGTGCCTTCTGTTGGTATGCAGCAAGAACCGAACAGCTTTTTTTCGATTTCCCACAAATTTATTAAAATGGAGTTGCCTGGTTATTGCAGCCAACCCTTCAATTGGTGTATGACAGTTTTTTGGCATGACAAATTTGATTCTGATGTCAATATCATTGCTATTTGTAGGGGGCGCCACTAACATGTGTTTTAACTGTTTTAAAGAGTAATAACTATTCATCCGTACATGTATAATACTACTGAGTCAAGAAATATACATTTTCATGACTTTTACGCATAGACAAACAAATAGAAAGAGACTGGCAAATTAATGGCAATTAAAATACAATTTGATAGATAATTAAATTGTGCATCTGATTCTCATAAAATATACAGGGTGTTCCATTTAAATTAAACAAGTTATTGCCGTTTAAAGCTGGTAATTATTTAAAATAAAATTTTAGACACTCTGTATAAGGTAGTATAATTTTTATTATTGCATCACAATAACTGATCAATAAATAAACTTCAGTAAATTTTTAGTATTAAAAACTTTTATACCCTTGGAGAAATAAAACTTTAAAATTTTGACTGCAATTTCACAAAATTGAAAATATTTCAAAAACGGTAAGGTTTAAGTGTAATAAGCCTTTATCAAATTTACGTGTATTTTAGTCGTAGAAACTAAAAATGTAATAATATACAGGGTGTTCCGTTTAAAAAAATACAACTTTGATATTTTTTATTTATTTGGGACACTCTGTATCTTGTAAAAATATTTTTAAATTGTTGCTCTAATAGTCCTTCAAAGAACCCAAAACTTACAATTTGTAAAAATCTAATCGTTTAGCTACAATACTCCGTATCTATCGTATGTGGTGAACAACCCTGTATAAACTTGAAAAATAAACAAAATACAGGGTTGTTCACCACATACGACACGGAGTATTGTAGCTAAACGATGAGATTTTTACAAATTTTAAGTTTGGGGTTCGTTGAAGGACTATTAGAGCTACAATTTAAAAATATTTTTACAAGATACAGAATGTCCCAAATAAGTAAAAAATATCAAAGTTGTATTTTTTTAAATGGAACACCCTGTATATTATTACATTTTTAGTTTCTACGATTAAAATAAAGGTAAATTTGATTAAGGTTTATTATACTTAAACCTTACCGTTTTTGAAATATTTTCAATTTTGTGAAATTGCAGTAAAAATTTTAAAGCTTCATTTCTCCAAGGGTATCAATGTTTTTAATACTAAATATTTAATGAAGTTTATTTATTGATCAGTTATTGTGTTGCAATAATAAAAATTATACTACCTATTACTAGCCCATTTGTATGCAAAAAGAAAACTATTTAAATCTTTATAAAAGAGTATACCATTAATTAAATATAACACCATTATTTCCGCCCATATACTAACTAATTACATACTTAATTGTGTTCGTTAATAAATTATTATAAATAAATGTGGATTTGAGTCAGAAATCAATATAATAATAAGTTATCAAATTAAAGTCTCTGTTGTTATAAATAAGCATTTATTAAAAAATTAAATATCATTTTTAAGGTGTTACTTTTTATCACACTGTCTAATGCCCATACAAAATTCAGTTTTTTAGTATTTGGAGCAATTATTATTAATCAACGCAAACAGTCAGTTAATGTAGTTTGAATACTGGAATGATATTAATTGATCCTCTTTAACAAATATTTAAACAGTTTTTTTTTACTTTTTAATGAAATAAACGAATTATATCGACAATATTAGTATCTGTACTCTTTATAAATTTGGTACATCTTTAAAAATAATCTAAAATGTCAATAGTCCATGGGTATATTGATAAATAAGTTCTAAATTACAAAAAAATGCATTTTCTACGGAAATTTAAAGAGATAGGTAAAAAATGGTATAATATAATTTGATAGACAATTAAATTGTGCATCTGATTCTCGTAAAATATACAGGGTGTTCAATTTAAATTAAACAAGTTATTGCCCTTTGAAGCTAATAATTATTTAAAATAAATTTGTAGACACTCTGTATAAGGTAGTATTATTTTTATTATTGCAACACAATAACTGATCAGTAAATAAACTTCATTAAATATTTAGTATTAAAAACTTTGATACCCTTGGAGAAATGAAGCCTTAAAATTTTTACTGCAGTTTCACAAAATTGAAAATATTTCAAAAACGGTAAGATTTAAGTGTAATAAACCTTTATCAAATTTACGTTTATTTTAGTTGTAGAAACTAAAAATTTAATAATATACAGGGTGTTCCTTTTAAAAAAATACAAGTTTGATATTTTTTATTTATTTGGGACACTGGGTAAAAATATTTTTAAATTGTAGCTCTAATAGTCCTTCAAAGAACCCAAAACTTACAATTTGTAAAAATCTAATCGTTTGGCTACAATACTCCGTGTCGTATGTGGTGAACAACCCTGTATAAACTTAAAAAATAAACAAAATATATTTATTTATTTCTATCAAATTAGTGTTAGATGAAACTTACTCCAATAAGTAAATGTGTCTTTTGATTAGTTTATTCATGTTAAGTTCCTGGGTCTCCCCAATACCCATTATCTCGGTCTGCAGTAATCGAAAATGGGTGTGAAGAAAATAAATTGACGTGATCACCGTTATATTCACCGTTCCAGTAAGTGAAATTCCGTAAAAGGTAATGTAAATCTGAATAATCCAGATAATCAAAACGTAATTAGCTCTATCGAAAGGCAACCAGACAGGAAAAATAAAATATGTAGCTTCGATTTCGTCGATATACAATTGCACCAATCTCACAATCACTAGAAGGGCGGCAAGTGAAACAGACAAACTACTGTAGAATTTAGAATAAAGCCGGCAATATCGCGTCTGCTCGTCGTAACAAGTGATAATCTTTGGATTGTTCGAGTTCCATACTTCTTCTTCCATATCCTGAATCAGTTCCAACAATTCTATTATTTTTTTCTTGTACAAAACGTAGACTTTTAAGTTTAGGTTCAATAAACTAATAAAAAATGCGCCGGTCAAAATGAGGTCTTGTTTGTTATCCGCTCCGTATCTAACGTAGTTCAAAAACGCCATTCCCATGCTGACAGAGAGACATGCGAAAAGGGTGACCATTAAGCCTTGATATAATTTGTAGAGAAACATGAACGACTGAGATTTGTTCTTGAATTTCCACAAGCCTTTAATGATTAAGAATAATCTGGGAACTTTGATCAATTTTTCTTTGGCCATTGTTAAACGACGGACGTACTGAAAGCTACTGCATGCGCATCGATAGTGTGAAAACGCATACGCTCTGGTTTCGATTTTTTTATTATCTCTAAACAACGTGTTAAAACTTTCTTAAAGGTAACGCCCTAAGTTTTCTACGAAGAAAATTTAGAATTCATTATTAATAAATATTTTAGCCTTTTCATTGTTTTCTTTTCGGTAAATAACAAAGTATAACTTTTTAAATTAATATTTTATACTGTATCATATACGAGTACTATACAGGGTGGCCCATCGAAAACGTTCGGCAAGGCATAACGGCCAGGGTATTTATTTTTTCAAAAAATCCAAAAACATGTCAATTTTGTTTGTGAGGGGGACAACTTTTGCCCTAAAAATGATTGCAAAATATTCAACCCTCTAAGCGGGGGTGTCATCCCTCAACTTTTTTCAAATGGAAAGGGTGGTCAAGTGGCACCGCAATGAAAAGAGCTTTCTATTCTCTATATTTCCCCGCTTCGTTTTTGAAAATCGGTCGAGTCATTGAGTAAATATGAAGGATTGAAATTTGAAAAGTTTATTTAAGTATTTATCAGAGTAAATGATAATTAAGGACAAATTCGACCAATTTGCTGTTTTTTCTTATTATTTCTAGATGTTCTTTTTCGCATTTTTTCACTTGCCACAACGTTGAACGATCAGGTGCGGTAGTTGCTAGATAGCTGTTCTGTGACTTGTACGTTGAAGTTTTTCTCAATATCGTTAAACTGACCCACAATAGAATTTCCAAAAGTACCAGCCCACTCGTTCAATTTCTGAGGGTTTTTTTGTGTGCACCTCGTGAAAAACCCTGGAGTTGTCCTCAGCCCAGTATCGACAGTTGTGCCGATTAACTACACCGTTCAAAAAGAAAGTACACTCATCCGAAAAACACACATTAAATATAATTATTCGCCACTCTTTCATTCATAGTTTCACAAAATTGCAAGCTACAATCAAAATCGTCTTCGTTGAGTTCTTGTACCAACTGAATTTTGTACGGGTGGAACTTGTGTTTTTTTAATATCCTTTGGAAACTTGTAAGATTCCCGCCGGTCTCATTAGCTAATTTTCTTGTACTCAGAATACTGTCCATGGCATCTTGGTCCAATACGAATACCTCCATAGCTTCATTTACTACAGGATTTTCACTCTGCCTCTTTTTATTCATAACGGAACCAGTTTCGCGAAATTTTAAGCGAAGAAAAAACAGCAAATTGGTCGAAGGAATTTATCCTTATCATTTACTCTGATAAATATTTAAATAAACTTTTCAAATTTCAATCCTTCATATTTTCCCAATGACTCGACCGATCTTCAAAAACGAAGCAGGAAAGTATAGAGAATAGAAAGCTCTTTTCATTGCGGCGCCATTTGACCCCCCTTTCCATTTGAAAAAAGTTGAGGGATGACACCCCCGCTTAGAGGGTTGAAAATTTTGCAATAATTTTTGGGGCAAAAGTTGTCTCCCTCACAAACAAAATTGACGTGTTTTTGAATTTTCTGAAAAAAAAATTACCCTGGCCGTTATGCTTTGAGGAACGTATTCGATGGGCAACCCTGTATATCGTCCTATTGCTGCCAAAAGTTACTGACTAACATTTTTCCGAACAACCAAATTCAATCACTAACTAGGTTTTGAAGCGGAGAATCGATTGCAAAAGTCATTAACTACGATTTCTGGCTATTTATGTTTTATTTTAATACCGAATAGTTACTAACTATAACATTTTTATGCAATGCAATTCATCTTTAGACGCATTTTTCTCGGAAGTTATAAAAAGTAAGTTAGTGACTTTTGGCAGCAATGGGACGATATTATGTATAATATGAGTAGAGAAAAAAATATATATAGGTCTCTCGTATACGCGGTTTTATTAATTCCATATTAGATAGGAAATTTTTATACAGGGTGATTCAAATTTCTAATAAAGCTTTATACATGGTGTCCCAGAAATAAGTGCAAGTATTTTAAGGAGTGGTAGATTTCGATATAAGAAACTTTTCTCTTTATCGTTTTTCAAATAAATCTTGATTTTCATGCATCCGTTGTCTGACGATACGTTGATACGATATTAATTTTATTGGTAGAATTTAAAGACTTCGATTGGTTAGAAAATAACGTAGTTTTTAAATTTATTGCATTCAAGCTTTATGTCACTTTTTTGTAAATGACGTCTAGAGATTGACCTCGCCAAAACTACCATCGATTATCATTTCCCAGCCATCTTTGACGCCGTTTATTTAATTAAAAAACCATACCTATTTTCTTCGATCATATTATACTTTAGTAAAATAAAAAATTAATAATGTTGTCAATAAAACCTATATCATTAAACTTTGCTATTTCCTTTATAATTTCTATGTAATGAGTCTATTAGAAACTAGTAATTTAAAAAGTTATTCTTTGTTATTTTAAAGAATGTCTATTGCAAAGAAAACAATGAAAAATAAAATGTTCATAAATAATATGTTCTAAATTGTGGCAACCCCAATTACTATAAACTATATCGATATATAGAAAGTTTTAACAGCGTGTGTAATAAAAATCAATAAATTAGTTTTGTTGTTCTCCATATGTATACAGGGTGATACACTTTAACTAATAAAATGTCAGTACCAGTCTGTGTTAAAGAACAGTAAAAGGGATAAATAAAATAATTTGAGAATTTTATTATGTAGAAGTTTCATTTTTATTTCGATTTGTTCCAAATAATTTCTGAAGTAATATCAATATTTGGATGAAAATTGGTGTCTGGGAGTTTTTTGACATGAGAAATTTGATGTCAACATGACTCCTACCTGTAAAGGGTTTAAAGAGTACCTAATAACTTTTCGTCCGTACCTGTATAAAACAACAGAATAAAAGAATTACTCGAAGAATTACTTATTTTTATCTGCATAATATGCTGCCGAAGTTTCCGGAATACATTTCGGACCACCCTGTATTTTTTTAATTACGCACAGATCAAGTGTATATTAGACAAATCATTGTAAATACAGATTTAATAGTAGATACCATAAGATGTGTTTAGATAATTTAGTATATCGGTAAATTCCATAGAAAAAAATGAAATTATCGAAATTTGCTGTTGTTGACAGCTTGCTGTAGAAGAAGTAAAAAGAGCACCGATTTCGAAAAACAACATTTCCTAAGACTATGCTGGATCTTTTATATTTGACAATGTGGTTATAAGACTTTTCTCATCATCACAAAAAAAGTAGCCCTTTTGTTATCGGTCTACTAAAAATTATCTCCCTGAAATAGATCGAGCCGCGCCGTGATTGGTTATTTGTTTTTTATTGTTAATCTGTGTTAACAATAAAAAACAAACAACGTGGAACGTGGGAACTAATATTTTTAACACGGGCTTATATTTGAGTTTACTTCTGAAAGTATTTCCAGAAATGTTTTGCAAAATGTTTCACGAAATATTTCCAGAAATATTTCGCAATTTTTTTGAACTGTTATTTCTAAGTTTTGGTAATTTGTATATCTTATTTAAAATGGGATGCAAATGTGTTTATTTATAAGGAAAAAAAAGATATTTATAGTATAAAAATTAATTTATTTAACAAATTTTAATTAAAAATGTGACAAAATAGTTCCCTTTCTATTGGTTCTACCGGACTTTTTTCGACTATATAAATCTTTATTTGTAAACTTTAATACGTCAAATATTTTCAATCTAATAAATCATTTAATGATGTAAATAAGAGGAAATTTCTCACATGGGTGGTCAAATTTTATAGTTTTCATTATATCAAACAGCCTCTGAGAAATGTTTTTAACTCAAAATGCCTTTAATTATGTTTGACTACATCATTAAAAAGGGTCTTCAAATACATCAATGTGATATTTGTCTAAAATTTGCAATAGAATCCGAATCTCTGGATAACTCGAAATTATTTACCCATTTAAAAGCCTTTTATCATGAAAGTGGAAAATTTTTTTCATTTTATTTACAGGCCGGAAAAAATTATTTATATTAAATTTTGATGAGTATTGCACTGAAGAAAACATTCAGAAGCTGTTTGATATATTGAAAACTATAGAATTTGACCATCCATGTGAGAAATTTCCTCTTATTTACATCATTAAATTATTTATTAGATTGAAAATATTTTATGCATTAAAGTTTACAAAAAATAAAGATTTATATAGTCGAAAAAAGTCCGATAGAACCAATAAAAATGTAACTATTTTATCACATCTTTAATTAAATTTTGTTAAATAAATTAATTTTTTATACTATAAATATCTTTTTTTTTCCTCATCTCCTACGAGCTGATATAATATGACGAGCAATCTATTAAATTACTGTGAGATTATACAGAAAAGTCCACAGACTTCGAGGCATAGGAAAATCAAGTCCATTTAGCGTGTGTCCAAATTTTGACAAGTTTTCAAAAATGACTGTTTTGTTTAGACTGACGTTTAATTTCACCTGACTTCTCGGTGAATGATTTCTTTTTATGGGGGTACATAAAATCTAAAATTTACGGCCATGAAGAAATTCAAAACTTGGAACAGTTAAGGCAGAAAATATTTAATGCCTTTGACACTGTCACCCCTGATATATTATCCAATGTGAGGAGGGGATTTTATGATCGTTTGTGTTATTGTTTAATGCAAGAGGGAGGCACTTTTGAACAATTTTTGTAATTTTTTAAATTTCATTATTCTGTTTTTTTACCGTTTACCTATTACCTACCTTGACAAACATGGGAAAACGAAGGTCCTTTTCAGGACCACAAATAATTTGATTGAGAAAATTGGTAACTTTTTTTTTGGATTAAAAAACAAAAGTTATTAATATAATACCAATTTAAAAGTGTTTTAGTAGTTTTAATACACACTATGATATAAAATTTACTATTATTATAATGTACATTATTAACACTATTGTTCATTCGAAATGGCATTAAGGC